CGAAATGAAGACAGAAGAGAATGAAAGATTATCTGTGGAATATTACTGCCTCAGCATTTACCTAAGTGATCCAAGGAAACCACAGAAAAACTTGGACCAAGGCAGACGGACCCGGAATCGAACCGGCGTCCTCCCGAGTGCTAAGCAATGGTCTAAACCTCTAGGCCATGCCGCTCGGTCCAAAACTAGAACAACCCACATCCTTAACTATTTCTGAACAGTCGCCTCTATTCCTTTTAAATCCTGTGTCTGCCTCTAATATTCTTCTGATTAAACCTTAATGCTTGGAAAGGTGTCCTACCAATCTATCTCACTTATTTCTTATTGTCTTCCATAGAGTCCTCTGTTCTCCTATTCTTTCTAATACCTTTTCATTTCTAACCTTCTCTATCCACAGTATCCTAATCATTCGCCTGTAACACCACATTTCGAACGCTTCTAACCTTTTCTTTTCCGCCGCGTCCATCGTCTATGTTTCGCACCCTTACTGCGCCGAACTCGAAACATACACCTTAAACAATCTTTTTCAAATATCTAAATTTCCGCGAAGTTCTTTTTATTCGACAGGACACGACCCTGTAAACCAATCGCGAGCATGGAAGTAACTCCTCTTTATTGAAGGCGACTCGACCCTGCGCTATCCTCTGCTTTATATCCCTACTACTCCTTCCGTCCTGACTTATCTGACTTCCTAGATACCTAAAATCAGCAAATTTTTCGTTTCCTATCTTTATATTCGCTCGTTCCCTACTTCTTCTTCCCTTACATACCAGTACTTCTGTTTTACTTTTATTTATTTAGAAAACACATGGGCAAATAAGACAAATGCTAAAACATCAAATGTTGCTTACGTGTTGAAATAAAAAATCAACTTATGATGGAGTGTTATGTTTCTCCAAGTGTACTTTTATTGAAATCGGGATCAGTTTTGGGTTTTTTACGACAGACAGTTTGCTCTGAAAGCGCCTGAAAGCTTTTCTTGTCTCATTTAGGGAATAAGAATGAGGAAATTCGGGCAGGTGCAATGTATTTTCAACCACCCCAGGAGACCATTATAAAATTGCTAAAGTTTGAAAGTTTTTTTTCATTAATCATTCAGAGCATAGTCGGAAGTAATAGATAATCACAAATAAGAAACCAAGAATGGAGTACAGTTTACGTGAAATCAATTGGTTTTATATTAATTTTGGTTGATTGGTAGCAAGGGTCAAATTTATAATTATTATAGTCATCGTCTTTAGTTTTCTTTTCTTTAATCTTCAATGCGATACAGAATAAATTAAAAGCTATAAAGGGTAATAACGTTCTACATCCACCGGCGTAACGAGGCGGATATGTCGAATTCCATATAGAAATGAACATCTAATACATGCACTCTCTCACCCCTCACGATCCACTCTATCCAACCACTTTCCAATGTGGGTTCGCATTTGCGCTCATATATTTTTTATTTATGCTTTTTTAATGAACTTAAAATCCAAAGTTGAACTTATTCTAGTCAAACCAGAAGTAGAAAAATTATAACTTTTCGTTATAAGTTGTCTCAAAAAATAAAAGAAAGATTTATATTTAAGTTGAGCCACCCGGTGTATACAGTATAACATTACCACCGCTGCACACGTTGTTTTTAAAATACCACCAAATAGCATACCGGGTAAATGGTCATCTGGATATAACGGTAAACAATAAATATTCGTTTAAATTGCTACTGTACTGTTTATAGGTAGAAATCAATAACAATAAGTTGACTGTTTGTTATTTTATTACTAAAGGCCCTTGTGCTCAAAAAACGTGCCAGGAAATAAATGCCCTGTGAGGCCTGAAGGGACAGTCACCGCTCGCCCTTTCGTTTTCTATGTCAGTCCAGTACCGAGCTACATTTAGAGGATCACAATTTAAAGCAAAATAATTGAATAAGTAATAATTTAGATGGTAAACAGCACGTCATAGGATAATATTGTTATAAACGTATTCCTGAGGCGACGATCGATACAACGGCACTTTTGATAGCCGACAATCGAAGGTCATAAGTTATACGTGACGACATACACAAAGACTCCTGCGTTAATAGAATCTTACAAGATGCTTTCCGCGAATATAAAGAATGTTTGACAGGTAACTATAAATATGTAACAAGTAATGGAGAGGTGTAAATAGCGCGAAAACGAGAAGTATGTGCGGTAATATGTGATATACATATAGTATTAATACATAGTAAATATGCGATTTTATTAAAAGTCTGAAATTGGTTTTTCAGTTTGAATGAATTAAATCGTTGTAATTAACAACTGCGCCAGTTAAACTTTTTCGAAATGGGAAGTAAGAAATTGCCTAATTGAAAGCGTTTAAGTGACAGTTTAGGAAAAAAAATTACTTTTGATGACTTTAAAAATTTAATTATTCATCGTTTTTCCTTTGTATTCGTTTTGTTTGTTGAAGAACCAATTCAAGGTTTTTACCAGCCGTCGTTTAATGAATTTATCGTATCTCAGATTTCCAACGAGGTTACTAGTAAACGATATTTTCTAGAAGGTATTATCCAAAAGGCATAAAAAGTTTATGGAAACATTATCGGTCGCTCATATTATCATTTTAATTTGTTTTTGAATTTGAATTCCATGCTCTTATGTCTGAATGTAAATGAAGTTTGATAAAACAAAGAGACCGATATTTATAATTTTATTACTGCTTGTTACGTTTCTTTTGACAATTTTTCCAATTTCATACCAACACAATTGACACTACGTTTTGCATTTACAATTTTTTGCTTTTTGGTATGTTCCTAAAGTGTTAGCGACTTCAGAGTATCTGAATAAGAAGACAGAAAAAATCTGTAATAAGTATCAATAACTTATACCCTTCGAGACTAATCCTTTGAAAAACACCAATTTGTGAAAATAGCTAAATTAAAATTATATTGTATTTCATTTTTTATCTTTAACCACAAAAAACACTTGGTTTGTTTATATCTCTATAAATAACTCTATACGTACTTCGCCTTTTTGTGGTGGAGGAGGCATCTTCAGGGGCCTTTAGTTAATTAGTTTATATTAAAAGATTCTAAAGATGCCTTAAAAAGGCGAAATACGTAAGCAGATATTAATAACTAAAGTGAAACAGATTTTTTTTTGATTTTGTGTGGTTAAAGATTGTTACAGTAATTCACCAAGAAATCACAGCCTAGATTTTTTATTATGAGAAAACTGTGGATAAAAAATAAAAAGTGTTATACAGACGGGGAATTTCGAAGTCTATTAACAATGGTCACTTCGATAGATTTTTTTTCTATAACTAATGGAATAAGTGGAAAATTTATTATACATTCCCAACGTTGCCCTATCGTAAATTGAAGTCCCACACAAGAAAACTCTTGGTCAGATTATGTACCTATAATAAGTAGATACAGGAGGCTCAGTTTTGGGTTACAAGCTCACTAGTAAATGAGCAAAACACGTGTGGGGGTTGTTTTAAAATTCTGTTGTGGTGAAGTGAAGTCAAGGGTATCGCTTCCTATTTATTAGTCCCAACCTCATATTTTATTCTAACCAAGCTGAATTTAGGTGATAGAGCAGTATTAGCATGTAACAAAGAGAAGTTAAAGATAGATTTAAATAAAATGGAAGCGGTATTGACAAAACTATATGAAAATAAATAAAAGTAAAAGAAAAACGCTAGTATGCAAGGGAAGAAAAAGTAGGGAAAAAGCGAATATAAAGATAGTAGATGAAAGTAGTTGGGATATAAAGCAAAGGATAGTGCAGGGTTGATTCGTTTTCAGTCAAAAGTAGTCACTTGTATGCTCGCGAACGGTTACTTTACAAATTCGAAAAAGGTTGTTAAAGGTGTATGTTTGGAACACGGCGCTGTACGGATGCAAAATGTAGACGGTGGGCGTGGTAGAAAAGAAAGGGTAAAAAGCGTTCGAAATGTGGTGTTACCGGAGAATGATGAGGATACCGTGGATAGAGAAGGTTAGAAATGAAGAGGTATTAAAAGAATAGGAAAACAGAGGACTCTTTGGAAGTTAATAAGAAATAGGAGAATTAGGTTGGTAGGACACTTTCTCAGGCATATAAGTCTAGTCAGAGATATATTAGAGGCAGAAACAGGAGTTAAGAGGAGTAGAGGTAGACCTAGACTAGTTTACTGTTGAAATGCAAAGATTAGCTCAGGAAAGACAAAGGTGGAGAACGTGCCGAACAGTCTAAGGACTGACGACCTTATGAAAACGATGAAGCACCTGGTGAAATGTTTTTTATTATTTTTTTACAATAACTAACTTAATGGTACTGTGCACAAATCTTTTTTGTTTTGTGCACATGCATGGTAGTATTATCTTTCGAGATTTCCACCTCCTTTTCTACTATAGTAAGTTTTCAATAGCGAAAAACCAACCAGTAGTTTCAACGTTCACATACTAAGGAAAGGTGCGCTTAAAACTATTTTATAATTTCCTGAAAACAATTTTACGGCACTTTTTAAAAAAGATATTACATTTTCAATATCGTTGGAAATACTCTCTGTTGTATGGTAAATTGCCATGGTGCAAATTTAATTCAAATATTTAAGGTACTTGCAATTTAAACTCTGGATCAGAAATTTTTTAATTTCCGTTTAAAAAGGGCATTAACGGAAGTAGTTTTAGAATAATTTGTCAAAGAAAAATCTACACCTTCACGCTTATTTTTTCTAGTAAAAGATTGGCAACCTTGACGTCGTAGCGAAATCTACCGCGAAGAAATGCAAAGAACACCTCTAATCAATCAATAAGAGGAATACACAGAATGATAAGCAGGATCTTGTTTATCATCAATACGCGATGTTGCCAAAGTTCTCCTCAGCTGTTTGCTGCGAACGTCATTGAGTGACTATAATTCACTTACTTATAATTCTTAATTAGGGATTTGCGTATTATAATTTGTATAGTTCAGTCTTAAATTAGTTAGTAAGTATTTATCGTTATTACAAAATGGTATTGTCCTTATAAATAACATCTTATTTAGCACCTATTTATCATTTGATTTCATTAGTCAACGGACTTCCTTATAAAACGTGCGCCATATGTTTTTTCGCGAAATCATTACGCGAAGATGTTTAATTTCTTGTAGACGATAAAACAGTATCTGACAAGTATCGTATATACACCTTAGTAGTATCAAATAGAAGACTTATTCTCCGAATATAGAAATTACATATTTTTGGAACGACGTTCTTATCGCACGTTACCGTGGTAATCATCTAACCAGCAAACATCAGCGTTGTCGGAAAATTCTTTTTATTCCCTAGTTTATTTACTTGAATTTCCTTATATTTCCCTGGACATTCTTAAGGTGTAAATGATGCTTTGGCACCAAAAGGGAAGGCTCTATCAACATAATCATAAGGTTGTCAACCCTAAGACTGGTTGGACACGCACCTCCACTCTTCCCTTTCCTGAGCTAATTTTCGCATTTTCCTAAACCTAGAACATACCATAATCCTTAACAATTTTTGAAGGATAATATACTCGAGCTCTATCTCTACTCCACTTAGTTTCTTTTTCTATTTCTAATATGTTTCTAACTAGTCCTCAATTTCCCTGGACATTCTTAAGTTGTAAATGATGCTTTGGCACTAAAAGGGAAGGCTTTATGATCATCNTGGTTCCCACTGAAAATCAATGAAATTTTTTCCTATATAAATATTAATGGAATTATTGTAAATGGAAACAATTATTTTTCTATTTATGCCAAATGGTTTTGAATGGAATTTACAAATTTTCTATTGATTCCTATTGAAGTTCAATGGAAATTTTTCCTACTAGTATACAATCAGGATCTTGCATGTCATCAATACTCCGATGTTGCCGAATTTTAGTCAGCTGTTTGCTACGGTTAACCGTCTAGAACTAGAATAGTATTCAATGAGTCTCATTAATGTAATGATAATGTTCACTATTGCAATATGTTTTATTCTAGTTTTTTACAATTTGCTTAGATTGACAGTGAGTAGATGTAGTTAATGTTTACCTTCATCAAAAGATGCTCTAAATTCCTCTAGCGTTTCGTCCGGCACCTTTACTTCGATTAAATGATTGTTGACAAATTCATTTATTTTTTCGAACAGAATTTTGTTAACAAGCTCCGCGCGATCGGACTTGTTCGTGGGAAGCTCGATTTCATCAAATTTACGAGATATATTCTTGTAGGCTTTGACGTTTTCTTTTACAATTATTCCGTTCAACAAGTAAAATTCCTTCGGGATTTTCTCTATCATTCTTATTATCTTTTCCTGAAAAAACAACGGTGGAATTAATGCATTGATTGAAATATTAAAAAGGGCCGCTAATTAAAATAAAAGAGATTGAACTTGAATATGAGACGAGTGACATCTCTTGCTTCTAATAACGTAAAACCTTAAAAAATCTACATATTTTGTGTATTATGTAAATAGTCGAACAAATAAAGCACTAAACCTTCAAATTTTGTGCCGTAAGTCGGATCGAGATGCGGTTTTTTGCATTCGATTAGTGAGTTTGTCTACAAACTTTCTCAACGTAAGAGATCAATTTATCTTCAAAGCATCGGTGCATAAGAAAAAAGCAGTCTTATTGCAACTGCATTGCAAAGTTGTCGTAAAAAGACTCCGTCAGTAATGATAGAAATCCAATTTTGTTACTTGGAGGTCTTGAGGGTCGCTGAACAGGTTTATGCAGTCTACGACGCCCTTCGAGGTATATGAGAGGCAGGGCCATCGTTATATACTCTTCTTTAAAAATTAGTTGAAATAATTTACCTGGCGGTTTTGAGGGACGCCGAACACGTATATGCAGTTGGCGATGACTTCCGAGGTACGTTGGGACCGATGATCGATGATTTGAAAAATGATGTATATTTTTTATAAAGATAATGCTTCAAATAAGTTATTTTTTTAGTACATTGTTTTATTGATATATAATAGTTCTTATAAATATTTGAAGTATATTTTCTAAAAATAATTGTTTTACAAAATATTTTCTGAACAGTTTTCATCATAACCTTCAAAACCCTCAAGTAAATTATTTCAATTAATTTTTATTGACGAAACTGCTGGAAACGAGTGTATGATGGTGACCCTGGGCCCCAGGTACCTCGGAGGCTATCGCAGATTGTATATTCGTGTTCAGCGACCCTCAAAAGCCCCGAGTAGAAAAATTGGATCATTATTGACCGAGTTGCAAATTTATTTTTTCATATTAATTTTGAAATAGATTTATTTTTCTCATGCACCTATGCATTTTTTAAGATGAATTCATGTCTTACGTTCATAAAGTTTGTAGACGGTCTTACGAATCAAATGAGGAAAAGCGCACTTTGATCCGACTTTCTGCACAAAAATTTATTTCTTTGACTAAAACACAACGTTATTAATGTTTCAAGTAAAGTCATGGAGTTTTGTAAGTTTGCAGACGTAAACATTTTCCATGTAGATAACGTGCTGTTGCAAATTTCTACCTTCTCAAATTATTTGATTAGTGTATTAGCTACCTGATAAAACGACGGAAGAAAATTGACGTCATTAATTTTGAAAATTGGTAGCCAAACAGGCTAAGAGTACGAAAGTGACACTTGTTATTTTATCTTCTATAATTAAGCTTTTCACAAGGAAGCATCTCAAGAAGCTTTCAGAAGCTCCCCTGAGTCACGAAGTGCGAAAGGGTAGAAGGAATAAGTCAATATGTGTACTAAATAAATCAAGTAATAGGTGTTTATGTAACAATTTGGGAAATGTCTACGGAGTTCTTTGTTAACTAATGGGAGTAGATAGTAATGATGATTGATTATTTAAATAAAGCTATTTTGGTAATTTGAATTAATTTTCAGGTGTTAAAAATCGAAAGTGAAATATTCTATGATAAAGGATTGGTAACTGATCTCAGACCAATTCAGCAACACTTATTATAAATTGAATCTCTTATAATAAAGCAAGCGTAATGCTATTCTTCTGTTTTGTACGGTTTAGTTCTTTATCAAAGCAATCGCTTGTTGTGAATCAAATATAGTCGACGATTAGCCGCTCTTTCGTTTAGTGCGGGGCTTAATAAAGTTTTTCGTGCGTGCTAAAGTAGATTAAGTTGTTGCGCATTTTCGGTGTGTTTTTTTTCTATTTCTATGTATAGTTCCTGTTGAATACGAATGTTTTGATACACCTGCCAGTTGACTCACAACAATTTGTTCTATATAAATTTCGAAATGCTTAGATATTGGAAATTTTTATCCACGTCAAAAACGTTGAAAAGTTTAACTACACGTGCTTCTTAGGTACTTATTATTGTTAAATAATAATTTATCAGGGGTACAAAGTGATCGGTATTAAGAAATATCGTACAATACATACAAAGCAATCATAAAAAGGATTTTCATCAGTCACGAATCTGTGCTCTTGGCGTTGCGCCTTTTTTTCTGTACTCGTAACCCCGCTATAAAATCATTTAACATTTTATGTTAGGTTAATGTATTCTGCTGTATGTACATTAAAACAACTCTCAAGTTTACTTTATAAAATTAATGTTGTTGTCATTAATTTATACTAATCGTATGCAAACAACAATTACAGTATATAGAAAGGTCTAATCGTAAATACTAATTAACAGGAATTATAAAATTTTTGACTGAAAAATATACCGGGGAATTGTGGATGGCAAGTTAGAATATAAATGTCACATAAATGCAACTATATTAATTGCTAATTACATTAAGAAGTTTTCGGTAGCACATACTTACTATAATGAGAGGTTACAATTATTGATAAGTACGCCTGTTTTATTGAACAAGACAGTCAGTCTTAAGCCTGGATTAAAGTATAAAAGATAGTAAAATTTGTGTTTAAAATATCAAATAGCAACAGAAACTATCAATTTAGCATAAAAAATTAAATAAAATCACTGTGTATAATCGTAGTTGCGACATACAATTTTATCACGGTGATGCAAGCATGCGAAAGGGTCGCGATGGTAAAAGCGCGACGCAAGGGCACGACACTTTATAGTCTTACAGTTATTGTATCTATAAAAGAATGATTACATAATAAATCAAAATACACGTAATTAATGTAAAGCAAATTCCACATTTCGGAAATCTACTAAAACATTTAAAACGTAGTAAACTTTAAACACACACCTTTAAACACAGAATACCGTCCGAGATCCCACGTTCTCTTATTAGCGAAAAAACATCTCGAAAACTATTGATGGTATAACCGGAAGGTTCTGATTTTGAGGAGTGCCAATAAAGTAGTAAAATGAGCAGTGATTTGTAGAAGAACTTCATGTTAACCGATCACCCTGTTTACAAACACTGATGTATAAAGAACCATAATGTCAAACGTTGCCCCGGTTTAGATGAAATTACGCACTCCGGAAATTACACCTGTAATTTGTTACTCCACTTAAGGAGTACACGACACAAACTGGATTTGTGTTTTTACGGTTCTGCATTGACCATGAAGAAAATTGCACGCATGAAGATAAACAGGAGCTGATGCTCGAAAAACTAATTTGTATCACGCAAAGACAATTTTTAAAAACACCCACACTTTATCACAGTTATCAGTGCATATTTTTTATTTTCTTTGTTCGTTTATTTTAAAAGTTTGTTGTTTCATTGAAACAATGCAAATTATTTTTTAACAATATTAATTTCTTTCTGTATATAAAGCGACCCTTTGGGTGTTAAAGACGAATGATTTTAATAAATTTTGCGTATAATTGAATTGACATTCATTGTTTTGTTATTGTTTCGTCTTCCTACCTACTATATCATATGACAATTAAACTCAAGCAGTTTAATTTTGAAACTCATTATGTTTTCTGCATTCAAATGTGATGTCTGGTGTACCTATATCTCTTTTAACATGTGGTAAATAATCACAATTTGGTGAAGTTAAATCTTTTTCACTAACACAAAAACAGATAGATATCTTTATTAAAAACATTAAGTTTTATATAAGTATATAGGGTGCATTCACATTTTGCTATTTTATATCTACATATGAATTCTATACTAATTTTAACTAAATTTTTATGCTTTTCGCTTTTCTGCTATTTTCCTTTTCCATAATATTTCTCTCATCCTTTTTCGACCATCCTTTTCTTCCATTTGAATTTCCCATTTTTTGTACCATGTAGCCATTATAGCCTGCATACCGTGGAATTCGTTTATTATGACTCCGCCTTTATTGACCATCCGTTTAATATGAAGTAATTGCAGTGTTAAGTTTGGTTTCCATATTAAATTCTCTACAGGAAAATTTGGATATAATGACTCCGTTTAAAATGACATATCGTTTATTATGACTGATTCTCAAGAAATCAGATCCGGCAATAGTGACCCAAATGATTAATAATAACATTTTCACTCATTTTTCTGACCCTTCTTGTGTATTTTGATAATACAATTCTAACCAAAATAGAAAGTTTTTTATTTTCTAAGACTATGCTATGTATGATGCCCACTTAGTATTACGTGTTTGTCATTTCTCTTCGATGTCATTATGAGCGGATTCTACTATATTTTCTTCTCTTCTTCTTCTCAGTACCTTGCCACCCTATTCTCACTTTCTTGTATAAATTTTGCTGTTAAAATTAATTTGTTTTTACTCTTTGCTCTTTCGCCCTCCAAATAATTTGGGTTTTCTTCCCATTCTTCCCATATTTTCTTATATTCCTATGCGAATTTTAAGTGTCTCATTTTTTCTCTTTTTTTTACTTGTCAGTGTCTTTGGTTAAACGTTCTGCTCCTCCATGCACTTCCATATGTTTCCAGTTTCTATCTGAAATGCACAATCGCTCATTCTCTTCATTAAAAAATTTCTTCTTTTATCCGTCTTTTCTTTGAGATTTTATTTTCTTCGGTTTGAATATTTGATATATTATCCTTAACTTTTATAAACTTTGTTAACAACGTACTGTCTTCTGAATTTCACCCTTTTCCTTCGTACTTTAAAACCTTTTTCGAATATTTTATGGCCTACTTTTCTGCTTTTGTTTCTTCTTATAATAGGCATTTCAGTGTACATATGTCTATCCAATTTCATAAGTCCATCTTATGTATTCGTCTTGAATGTTTTCGATTACTTTTCTTTTTTCCTATCCCTATATTACCACTCCGTGCAATAATATGCTCTCTATCAATGTTTCGAATAGGAACATTCTTTTATTTCAACTCTCTTTGAGATTTCCGCGAATTTACGATTTATTCATGAAGGTTACCAAACCTTTTCACCGTAATTAACAAAAACCCATTAAATCGGCAGAATTTACAATCGCCGCTCCTTTTATAGGTATAACTTGTTTAAATAATTGTATTACCAGCTAATGAAGGGACCACCTTTCCTTATCATAAGGGCGTTGTTGTTATATAAGTACTAATATTATAAGAGAGTATATAACAATAATCTAGTTACCCACTAACAGAGTAAGCGATTGTTCGATTGATTTTGTGACAACGTCTTATAATTCGATGGAGCCGGCTGCACGCACGAAAAAACATGACTCATGCGGCGTTACCTCGCTCTGAGGCGTTCCATTTAAGGCTTGAAGTGCAAGCGAGAGCGCGGAACGAGCAACAAAGAGGCACAATCGGCCTCCGCGTTCGGCAGCGTTTGACATCTGTCTCTCTCCTACTTGAGTGAGCGGTGCGTCCGTGTGGACAGCTGCTATACAATAATACATTTCCATTTACCTCCTTCTCTATATCNTCCATAAACTAATACTTAAATTTTTATTTTTCTATAAAAAAAATGTACTTTAACGTTGCACCATAATGTACATCTGTATATACTGTTATGGTCAAGAAAACTGCACATTTGAGTAGCAACTACATGACTTGCTTAATGTACGACGTGAGCGTCACTAAATTGTGCTCGCTAGTGCTCTGCTCTGATTTGCTGCGCAGACAAGAGGATTTTGATTATGTGTTTAATAACTAAAAATACCGAAAATCGATGCGCGATTGTTCTATCCTTGATTAGTGATGAGACTTTAAACTTATCCGTTTCGGGTTAAATTATTGTTTCTGTATCTAGTTTTGTTTGTATAGGACAGCATTCAATGCTATTCAAGCATACCCGTTGGAAAAATTTCCATTAAAAACTGCCATTTATGGAGAATTGCCAATGGAATGAATGGGATTTCCACTAGAATTCTAACCGAACTCAATGGGATTTCCATTGCGTTCCATTGGAACTTCTATTCCTGAACCTAATGGAAATCCTAGCGATAAATCTTTATTTTTTACCTTTAATTATAGTTAGTGGTAATTAAACGACATTCTTTTGAATCAAGGTGAAATATGAGGTTTTTCAACTAAAAACAATGTGAATTACGTGAAAATTATTATTCCAAATAATGTCTTGTTTATTACTTTTACAATTTCCTTTAACAATCACATTAACTTCGGCACGTTTTTCTCCATTTTTTAATGTTTTAATCATCTCAAACCAGATCTTCTCTACTTGTAGGTACCGAATACACTACGTTTTGCATTTACAATTTTTTGCTTTTTGGTATGTTCCTAAAGTGTTAGCGACTTCAGAGTATCTGAATAAGAAGACAGAAAAAATCTGTAATAAGTATCAATAACTTATACCCTTCGAGACTAATCCTTTGAAAAACACCAATTTGTGAAAATAGCTAAATTAAAATTATATTGTATTTCATTTTTTATCTTTAACCACAAAAAACACTTGGTTTGTTTATATCTCTATAAATAACTCTATACGTACTTCGCCTTTTTGTGGTGGAGGAGGCATCTTCAGGGGCCTTTAGTTAATCAGTTTATATTAAAAGATTCTAAAGATGCCTTAAAAAGGCGAAATACGTAAGCAGATATTAATAACTAAAGTGAAACAGATTTTTTTTTGATTTTGTGTGGTTAAAGATTGTTACAGTAATTCACCAAGAAATCACAGCCTAGATTTTTTATTATGAGAAAACTGTGGATAAAAAATAAAAAGTGTTATACAGACGGGGAATTTCGAAGTCTATTAACAATGGTCACTTCGATAGATTTTTTTTCTATAACTAATGGAATAAGTGGAAAATTTATTATACATTCCCAACGTCGCCCTATCGTAAATTGAAG